CCTTAGGTTTTTTTCTTGCAACCCAAGTTTCACTAAGGGCTCCCTCAATTATAACGAAGGGATTTCTTTGCATAAGGGCTTTCATGCAACCAGGCCCAGGACTCCTGCCACATACAGTGAGAGCTGACCACTAGGACCACCAGTTTCTACTTTTAGTCATATATATCATTAGAAGAAGAAAAAACAGCAACACATAAGCTACAGATTTGTAATAACATGAGGGTGAATAAATGATGAAATCATGATTTTATTTTTGGGTGAACTCTCCATTTAAAGCAACTACATGTACTTTTGAGCATTTTTGCGACTTTGGAGCCTCCTACAGTTAAGTGAGTAAAAATCACTGTCGTAAATCACTGTGGTAAGCGTGGGAAAGAAACAGTCGCCATTCGTAAACGCACCGTCATGATTTAGTACTGATATTTTAAGATAAAAAATACATAGTTGCTTTAAAATATGTAGTAAGAACTATGTACATTAGTTTTTAAATCTTTGATAAAGTGTCACTATCATCATGATGCACAGAGCTCATTGACTCAAAATGCAGAACGAGTCAGCTGAAGCATTTTGATAGTCTTGTGATTCTTTTGGCCGCTATGAAGGGAAAAACCTAATTTAAATGGTCAGACATTTTGGGCCAGACAAGTGAAACAGGCAATGGAGTGGTTCCAATTTAATTGTTCTCTTTGATTACCACCCAGGGGCGCTGTAAGGGGGGGAAGGTTAGGACGATTCCAAGGGCCCGGCGTTAGAGGGGGCCCACGAGGGGGGAACGCGATTTCTAAAGAGGGGGTAAATATGCAAATATGCTGTTCAGGGGGGCCCACAAACCATAGCGCGCCCCTGCACACACACACTCGAATATACTCTGAGGGAAAATGTCAAGGTCATATACAGATTTTGTGTATAAGTGGCTTCAGGAAGAATCTCACAGTTCACAGTCGCCTGACGTTCACCTTTTTTGTTGACTGGATTAAGGTTGCTATAGTTGTTCTATAGATAGTAGATTCTATTACCAGGTCACACGTCATGACTGTTTTATTACCATGAACTAATTTCACACTCATTTCATGAGTGAAACTACTTCCTTAATGACGTGCTGCAAGAACTATGAAAGAATATCGTGTTGCACTTGCAGTATGCTGGATCTTTAGTATGCAAATTGTATTATAACAACTTTAAACGCGTGGTTGACTCTTAACTTTTATAAAGAATATCTCTTTGGATTTGAGACTTTAGTCTTTGCAACTTTACAGATCTTATTTATGCACCAAGAGCTTGTAACACTCCAAAGAGAAAGGAAAAATTGAAATCGCATCATATGACCCCTTTTAATGTCATTTTCTGAAATTTATTCAGGACATTGACATCCGACAAGCAGCATTGTTTCTGTGGATCTCAAAGGCCATGCATGAAAGCTTGTGACAGATAAAAGGTGTCCATTCTGTGGTTGCCTTGGTAAAAAGGAAAATGAATTCAGCTTTATTATGATGTTACAATCAGTGGTTCGTTCTCAGGGCTACCAGGGCATGGTGGATGGAGGTGACAACATCAAAGAGGCATCATGGGAAAGTGTTTCCAGTATGTTACAAGTGGTAAGCAGTTTGCTTTATTGAAGTCTCTTAAGGTTAAATAACACACAAAAATGAGCAAACATAGAGAAGACACATTGCAGGGTTGTTGCAGAGAGCTGCATGATTCTCAGTAGAGGTCATGATTCTCCAATGGTTCTGAAGGAAAAACATTAGACAAACAAAACATTTTACTAGAGGTTCTGACAAAAAGTTAATTGCTTCAGACTAATTAAAATATTAAATAATTCAGCATAATCAATAATAAAAAAAACGGTTGAATGAATGATTCAAAGAGTCACTCATAAAGACTGCATTTGTTAGTGAATGAATCTGTTTTTGAACAAATCGTTTGAATGAATGATTCAATGACACAACGCTTTTTAACAGTCACTTGTCGCCACCTACTGGTTTTAGGATGTTGTGGTACAATTATTACTTAAAGGGATAATTCACCCAAAAATGAAAATTTGCTGTTAATTTACTCACCCTCAGGCTATTTTTCTTCAGTAGAACAGTATAGAAGATTTTTAGCTGAAACCGTGGTCCTTGGTGATTAATAAAATGCAAGTCAGCAGCTACCTGTTTTTGAGAAAGCATATCAAAGAACACACAAAATTAATACCCAAGGCTCCTGACAATATATTGAGGTCTTATGAAGCGAAACGATCGGTCTGTGCAAGAAACTGAACATTATTTACTACATCATTACCTGTAATCTATATTCTCAGTAAACCGGGAAATACGTTTTTTTCCCGTCGAACTGGTTCTTTCAGTTCAGTTATTTTTTTCTTCAGTTCACTTGTTTGTTTATGTAATCACGCAATAAGCAATTATATTATTAACGCACTCAATAATTATGTGAAATGTGGATATGGTAAAGCATCAAATTACAAAAAAGATATTTATATATTTTATTTATACTTTCATATTTTGACCAAAATGAAAACCATCAATTATTACATATGAACTGTATTTTCTTAATACTACTGTGTGTGTGCAGGGTGGCACTGTGATTGGCAGCGCCCGCTGTAAGGATTTTCGTACCCATGAGGGCCGTTTGGATGCTGCTCTGAACCTGGTGCAGCGTGGCATCACTAACTTGTGTGTGATTGGTGGAGATGGCAGTTTGACCGGGGCTAATCTCTTCAGGGAGGAGTGGAGTGGACTCTTGGATGAGCTTGTCCAGTCAGGTAGCAGAGTGGGAGGGGCTTATACATGGGACGAGAATTTGTCATTTGTAACTGTACTGAATAGCATAATATTTTGCCGTATTTCTCCCAGGTCAAATCAGTGAAGAGGCTGCCCAAACTCATTCTGCGTTGCATATCGTTGGGATGGTGGGCTCTATTGACAATGATTTCTGCGGGACAGATATGACCATTGGCACTGACTCAGCACTGCACAGGATTATAGAGGTGGTGGACGCCATAATGACCACGGCACAAAGGTACTGTATATACCAAAAATGACGATATACAGAAAATTCTAGTTATTAGATATTAAAATCAGCATATTATGGTGAGCATAAGAGACATTTTTCAAAAACATTAAAAAAATCATAATTATTCAAAACTTTTGACTAGTAGTGTAAATGCATATTGAATATCAAATACATAGTTTGTCATTAAAGGGGTCATATGATGCGATTTCAAGTTTTCCTTTCTCTTTGGAGTGTTACAAGCTGTTCGTGAATAGATAAGATCCCTAAAGTTGACTTAAAGACTAAAGTCTCAAACCCAAAGAGATATTCTTTATAAAAGTTAAGACTGGTCCACTCCCTCCTAAAACGCCTCGTTTAAACACGCCCCCACATGTCTACGTCACGATGTGGGAAGATTTGCATAACGCCGCCCAAATGTTCATGCAAAGAAAGAAGGCGTAACTTTATTGTTTCTGCCACCGTCGCCGCCATGTTGTGAAGACGCTGTGTGTTTCATGGCGAAAGCAAAAATACTTTGTTTGGCCTTCCAAAAGAGGACAATATCAGCTTCGTCATGCCTAGAGCTGATGCGTGCTGGTTGCTGAGGGAATACATCAACTTTGCGCTCTATTTGAAAGTGAAAGTAAAATGCGCACGCCGCTTTTGCAAGCTATTTAAAAGCGAACGCCCCTGCCTCCACGGTGGTACCGGTATTATCGTCCAAATACACAAAATAATGTTCTTTTTAGCAACATCATATGACCCCTTTACAGATAAATTAATTTTTTTTATTCATATTGTGTGTTTTTAGCCATCAGAGGACCTTTGTGCTGGAGGTCATGGGAAGACACTGTGGGTAAGACCCTCGACTAGAAACACTCAAAGAGAAATATGCATATACTTAAAAATCAGCATTAAACCATGTGTGTATGTGTGTGTAGGTATCTAGCATTAGTCAGTGCTCTTGCATGTGGAGCTGACTGGGTGCTGATTCCAGAAATGCCTCCCAAGGATGGCTGGGAGGAACAGATGTGTCATAAACTATCAGAGGTAATACACTCACACACATAAACATGCACACAAAAGCCTACAGCTGTTCTCAAACCAACTCAAATATAGAGGTTATTAACCTAATTACATTATTCAGATAAGTGACAGAAACCAGACAGTTTTTAAAACCAGTAACCAGCTATTTACAGCAGTTGCAGTGTAGCATGAACTGACATAACATCAGTGTTTTAACTATTTGCTTTATATTGTGCATGGAGCCTTGCAACAGAGGAAGCTGAGGAAATAATTAGCATTTATTGGTTTTATTCAAAGCGACTTACAAATGAGGAGCTTCACACACAATTTGTCATCAGTGCCAGCAATATTTGTGGGAATTTTAAGTGTAACCTAGATTCACACACAAGCTAAAGCTGAAATCTAGAGAAAAAGAGAACTATAAATAAATTAATTAATTAATTAGAAATAAGAGAGAATTATATGAGAGAGAATTTTATACATACATACATGCATACCTGTTTTATTTCTTTTCTTTTTCTGCTGATGGCCCGCGCTCGACTTGAAGCAGCGATGGGTGTGTGTCATCAAAGTACTGCGAGAGCTATAAGAGAGCGCGGACGTCTCCTTATGCTTTCTCTCGCCTTACTTTGATGTCATACACCGATCGATCTTCAAGTCGAACACCCCTCTTTACTCTCGCGTGTCACGTGACCGTGTAATCGCAGCCTCTGCGATTGAAAAATCGCGTTATTTCATATCGCGATATTATCGCAAATGCAATTAATCGTTCAGCCCTAGTAGCCATGCACATACATATGAACACAATCACACAACACACTCATGCTTACATGCCAGTGCACACACACAACTTGTTTCAGTCCTCCAGTGTTTGTCCTGCAGAGCCGTTTGCGAGGTTCTCGTCTTAATATAATCATAGTGGCCGAGGGAGCCACAGACAGACACGGAAACCCCATCAGCTCTAATGCAGTGAAGGACGTGAGTATCTTCTCCCTGTTCTCACCAGTGTGTATGTGTGTATGGATGTGTGTGTGCACGCTTTTTTTCCCTTGTAGAATCGTGCTGATAAGAAAAGGCTTAATATCATCATAGTAGCTGAAGGTGCAATAGACCAAAACAACAAGCCCATAACCACAGATCTTATAAAGGACGTGAGTAATGCACAGCTACAGCCCATACAGAACATTCATGCTAAATGAGCTTACAAATTACTGTTTTTCTTCTCTTACACTTAACAAATAAAAATGTGTGTTTTGGATTTGAGTTTTGGTAGACATTGTCTTTTTGTGTAAATGTGTGAGTTTCCATATTGTACTTTCCTTTCATTTATTGGACTGATTGTAGCAGTTGTGATCAGCATGTAATTACCTTTTTTTTAAAGTTACGCACAGTTTCTTATACAGCAGTTAGGTATGGAGACAGATCAGCCTCAAAAATAACATATTTGCAAAACAAAATTCATAAATGCACAGCACAATTTACATTTACAAAATCAGATTCGTAAATTCAAAACACAATTCATAAATACACAAGTAAAAACATAAATATTTCCCCAAATGCTCATACAAATGCATCTTACCTAAATAAATTTAAAATGTTTACACAAATATGTATATACAAATTTCTTGAATTAATTTCCATCACACATTTATGAATGATGTTACATGTATTTATGAATCGTTGAATCTGCATTTGCAAATCGTCACATGTGCGTGGACTGCTTTGAATTTGTGTGTGGTATTTTTGAGACCTTATGAACTGAGATGTCTTTTAGAGACTATAAATGCAGCGCTCTTTGCTGGCATTCTGTCATACTGTAACAACGCGCAGTTGTTCTATAGAACGTAGGGCTAACTGGAGCTAAGCTAGGCTACTAAACTGTTGCTAAGTTAATTGCTAACAGGATACTAGCAGCTACACGTGTATTTATGAATTGTGTTTTGAATTTACGAATCGGATTTTGTAAATGTAAATTGTGCTCTGCATTTATGAATTTTGTTTTGCAAATGTGTTATTTTTGAGGCTGATCTGTCTCCATAGTTAGGTCTGTGGTAATGTTTGCTGAGCTTGCCTTTAATAACCCCTTTAGAAATATACCTTTTTTATGCATGTGTGTTTTTAATTTGTGGTTGGGTTTCTATGTTCAGTCTAAAATTAATAATAAACCCATCTACACTACCTTTTTTCTTTTTTTCTCAGTTTTTTCATAAATGTGACCCTGGAGCACAAAAGCAGTCTTAGGGGCCGTTCACATATCGCGTCTTTTGCGCGCTCAAGTTCGTTATTTCAAATGTAGACGCGCGGCAGGCGCGCTCATAATGGAAGCGACGCGCACGCGGTGC